CCATTTATAAATCAGACTTTGCACGATTTTATTTTTCTAAAAAGATCTTTTTTTTTTTGTTTTTATGTCATTGTCATTATAACTCGATACTTACTCTATATAACGTTAAAAAATTAGAATTTTTAAAATCATGTTAGTTTAAACATAATTGTTGAAAAAATAACTTACGACAACAAAATTTACTTTACAATGTAAAGAAGAAATTAATTCAATTATACATAAAAAATTCTTCTAACTACAAATCAGTTTTAAAGCGTAAATAACTTATCTTTCATTGTTAATGACTTTAATTCTATTTATATAATTGAATTCAAACGACCTAGATTAGTTAAAATTATAACATAGTTTATTTTGCACGGAAGCGTACTTGTAAATCTCGTTGGACAATATTCACCCACTCAGAGCAGTCGCTCGCAGAAGGTCGGCTAATTTTGTACGTGAAACGATATTAGTGGACGTTTCATGGGCAGTGTGAGGTCGGGAGCGATGACCGAATATCAAAATATACGCGGATAAAAAAATTCACTCTAAAATAGAAACGATTGATCGAAATAAAGAAAAACAGATGTTAAGTTGATAGATTTAGATTTAATTAAGGTTATTTTTGTATTCGAGGAAATAAAAATAGATCCCAAATATTTGTAACTGTAATTAATATGGTAGAAAAGTACGATACGTGAATTTCAAGATTACATAATTTATTATTAGTATTAAATTAATATGAATAATAGTTGTCAGCAAATCATCGCGATAACAATAGATCATACGTACTTATGATGCCCTAGTGGTAGCTACTAGCTAACTACGATGTTTACGGAAGCAATATGATTTTCCGCTGCGGAAACCTCTCATTTAAACAATTGTTACGCTCAGATAACCAGCCACTGTCACGCTTAATAATCGTAGAGGCCGTAACTTTATAATTTTACGCATTACCTATGTCATTATCTTATTACTACAATATACGGCTAACATATTATTAACTTGACATAGAAGCAAAACAATAAACAAGTAATAATGAATTGGAAATATCTTTAATCTCATCCTGTATGCAATAAGGGATGACCTTAGAAGTAAAATAAGTTTCTAATAGTAAAATTTCTTTGTCCACAGTAATAACAAAATGCATATTGAAGTACAAGTCGCGCTCAACTTCGTCATATCGTACCTGTACAACAAGCTGCCACGTCGGCGCGTCAACATCTTCGGGGAGGAACTGGAGAAAGCGTTGAAAGACAAGTTCCGCGGCCACTGGTATCCTGATAGACCGTGCCGTGGTTCCGCATACCGCTGCCTCAAGACCGGCGGACCTCTCGACCCCGTGCTTGAACGAGCTGCGCGCGAGTCTGGCGTTCCCGTAAGAGATGTGCTTGAACATCTGCCGCGGGACCTCGCCGTTTGGGTTGACCCAGGTTATTATACACTTTTTATCTCTCTTTTTTTTAATACGGAAACTATTAAGCCACTAACTACACAATTTATATCCATGTTGATGAACTATTTCGACGTCTGATTTTACTCTTGTAACAGTCTGATCAACAACAACTGCTTACCAATCACATTAATTGTTTAAAGTGATGTTAGTCGTAGAAAAAATTGTCCACTGACTAACTGCGCCTAAATGAAGATAAATTTAAAATATAACTGGACGATAAAAAGTTTTGTTTTTCAAAAACAGTGCATGTTTGAAAAACGTTTTTTATTATAAAGTTTTTTATTTTATTTTATCAAGGGAATGAACGTGCATGCGGGCTAACGGTAGCTTAACAAAAGTTTTAACGGATAGAAAAAACGCAATGTAGTCCGTGACATAATACGATATACTGACAAAACTACATCAGTTAACCACTAGGTTTTCACTACCGAATCACATGAGCAAAAAATATTGTCATCCCTTTCATTCTGTTTGGAAAGACAATGACAGAAATATTCTTCTGTACATTTGCTTCAACAGTGAAAACTTACGGTATTATTGTCGCTTGGCATTGCACAAGGCGTTAAGTAGTCGAGGTCAGATGGATAAGCGTCAACCTGTGACAAGTACTTAGTATCTATGCATATTCAAAACATAGTAATTTTAGACTGCTAAGCCTAATAATATGTTTTTTTAAAACAATAATACATATGTACCCATGTTAAATAATAATGTTTTATGTCATATTACTTCCAGGTGAAGTTTCCTATCGCATCGGTGAAAAAGGCGCTGTAAAAGTTCTCTTCAGCAGCGACGAAAGAGCGGCCGACGAAAGGACCGACAGAGAGGTAACTATTGTCTAAAATATTATCATATTTCAATAGACGCTTATCTCTTCATATATTTTAATTTAGATTCTCTCGACAACCAAGTAGAGGATACGCAATCACTCAACCAGTACAAAATTGCAATGTCTTTTTTAATTAATGAAAAACGCATGGTAACAATTTTTAATTTTAAAGCCAAATCAAGCGTTGTGATTAAACTGCACCGCGTGAAGTGAAGCCTGTGACAATCGGCCAATCAATACGAACCGCAAACGTGATCGCCGGGTTAACTGCCAACGTTGTAATCAGATTTATGACAGCGTACAGAATCGATTTTCCGTACATAACTCGCGTATTGATGGCCATTGTCTCGAAAACTACGAGATTTATTATTTGTAACATTCATTACACATAGCACATTTTATGGCATTGATAAAGAATAGCCACCGCAAACATATCTTCCTTAATGGCTCGTTATACTCATGTTTTTCGGTAGAACTTTTCTTAGTAATGCACGTATAATTTTGTAAAACCCATGAAAAATATTAATGATGATATATTATAATACATTTAATCTGTTTTTAGGTTACTCGCGCGTTTAACCCCGAGGCGCAATGCTTCCGGCCGGTGGAGCCTGCGGCTCCGTCGCCACCCGCGCCCGCTGCCTTCTCGCCCGCGCCGCCATTCCGCGCGCAGCCGCTCACCTTCACCACGGCTACCTTCGCGCAGACTAAGTTCGGCAGCACCAAGCTGAAGACGAGCAGCAAACGCGCCAACCGCATGTCGCCCACTGAATTCAGCAACTACATAAAGCAGCGTGCCGTGCAGCAGCAGCTGGCGGCGCGCGCTCTGTCGCCGGCCGCCGACGCGGGTGCATACTTCGCGCGGCGGGAGGCGCCGGCGCACTTGCTGCTGGCCAACTGAGCCCGCCGCTTGGCCCACCGCGACCCCCGCGACCCATAACACCCAGGCCGCCCCGCGCGCCCATAGAGTCTTTACTTTTGTACGAGAGAGGCGCGCGCTGCGATTTATTTTTTTATTTTCCGCGGGGCCGCCTGCCGCTTGTGATAACCGTACGATTTTCCATAACTTTTTGTATTCTCGTTCGTTACGTCGATGTGTAAATTTATCGATAGGAGCAATAATCGGCCGCGCGACTCGCCGGCGATTTATTTTCTTAATATTTAAAACGTAAGCCGAGTCGAGTTTTTTGACGTCTTCGTTCGATATCGATGTTGGTAGGGTGTGAGAGCGAGGCCGAGTGGCCGCGCGCGTTCGCCGCGACGCACCTTTCGAAGCGAGCCTCTATACATACGTCCTCCGATCTAAGAAACTACTGATATTTAATATGTATAAATTACATATATGTATATATCTACTCGTACGCGAAACGTCTAATTTTTCACGTGGAAACGAAATGCCAATAGAGAAATTACGTATTTTTAATATTGAAATTGATACTTGTAGCATAATATATAGAGTATGTATGATGTGTATGGCATGGCATGCGTCGCAGTGGAGTGGAGCAGTGGGGTGGGCAGGGCAGGGCATACACAGTCGGCGTTACGCCACGGCCACGTTGCATATCTGCCGGCCGCCCGCCGGCGCCGGCGCGCTCGGAGATCTCACCTAGTTCTAATCATCACTCTTACGATCGTACCCTTGTAATAATTATAATATACATAAATATAGGTCTCGTAATATAGCTACGTTTCAATCTAACAGTATTTTTTTAAGAAGATATTAGTCCTTGTGTACATCGCCGGCCACGCCCGGCGGCCGGCCTTAGTCCGTACGGTATACTTATTGTAAATTTCTTATAAAAGACATGAATATGAAAAATGATAGAAAAAAAAATATTTCTCAATTCATATAATAACGGGTGCATGCGAATTCGTGGAAAATAAAGTACTATGTGTTATTTATCTTTTTTATATTTGACTCGGCACTTGGGCTCAGTGTTTCAATCGAGGTATGTAGCGGTATGATCGGTGTGCGCAAAGCAGGGGCGGGTTCACTTCCGCCGCGTCCGGTGACTCGTGCGCTGCGAGCTGCGCTGCCAATGTACATATTATAAGCAATAGCAAGAGCAGGCACGCGGCGCCAGTGACCGGACGCGGCCACCTCCCCCCTCAACACACTATGTTCCGATGCGCAACAATGACAAGGTGTATAGGGAATTTGCATCTATTTTTTTACTATTTTTATATTTTGATGATTTAGATTTAAGTCTAGTTGTATGATTTTAATACTTTATGGATACCCTATTCTTATTAAAAGGATGTGTAATTGTGCAGCGGGCTCGATTGAAAACCTGACCGAAACGCTACAGTATTTTGTAGATAAAATCTATAATGTAAGTCTAAGATGAATAAACTTTAGCGTAATGAGATTTTTTATTAATAAAGATAACTTTTTATTTTCTTTCTTTTGTAAGATATATTCGATGGAAGTGTTAAAGATAATATAATATTTGCATAATATAATGAATGCGGTACTCCATGCCCGCGAATATAAATTAGTCAATAATAATTTTTCATATTGTTGTACGACTTTTTAAGTTTATATTAAAATGTTTTGTGCAATCTACAATGTGTTTTAATTGAAAACAATATCCTTTTGACACATATCCAATTCCAATACCCATAAACATACATATCCGTCAAAACAAATTGTCATCCAAATGAAGTTCCATACTCCCTATTTTAGTTGGGTATGAGTAGGTTTTTTTTTTAAATTTAAAATGAAAATAAAAGGCATAATTTAATTAAGTCACTTTATTTACCAAACCACAATGATGACAAAATTAAACCTCATCTATGGCCCACAAAATTATTATTGAATATTCACTAGATGTGAATTTCCAAATCAAGTACCATCAGCAACATTTACCAACATTCTTTAACATGACACTTCTTATAATTTAATTTGTATTATAGTTTTCTTAAAAATATAAATTAAAAGAAACTTAATATTTACAAGTTTCATATTGATAATCGAAAACATATCACAATAATTCTTTAAATAGTGTTTGAAAAACATTCAATATATCAGTCACATGGGATCTATTCTACGAAGACGCGAATTATACAAAAACGGCTTACAGTAAAGACACGGCACAGCAAGCAGGCGTGGAACAAAAAAAAACGTGGCACCCGGCATGAGTACAATTCACATAGTGTCGCCTATCTACATATTAAATTGAAAATGTTTTAAAGAGGTAAGAACCTGCGCCTTCACTTAACGCCGTTCCTATATAATTTGCGCCTAAGTTAATTCAAAGCAGACTTTTTTTTCAATAAATTGGCAGATTTTTTTCAATCAAATGCGATTCACGATATAAAATTAAAAAGATTTCATTGCCTTATTTTTATTTTGAATGTGAATACATTTGACATAAGCATGATACAAAAAGAAAATTTGGTCTAGGTGACAAAAAACTATTAAATGTTATGTTGATTAGATCATTTAATTTTAATATAATAAAATACTCTTTATGTCTTCAAATAGTAAAAATCGTACAATTTATTGTATTATTTTCAATATTAATAAGATACGCTAAACATTTATTATTTAGCTATACATCGATTATTTTTTGTAAAATATGGAAATGGATTTATGAAACTTTTTTTTATTCTGAATAACATTTTACATTTATAGTTTATCATTTACATACGATAATTTACAGTTTCTTATATTAAAAAGTTTAACCTAAATTAACCTACATTTGAAATGAATCAAGCAAATTTTTGGCACTATTATATATTACCATAAAACTAGATTTAAGTCGGCTGTGCAAAAGTATATCGTAATTTCTTAGGAAATTTTAATACATATTTTAATAGATTTATAGTCTAAAATGTACAGTTCATAACTCGTAGGCCCGACGACATATAAGTATAGACGAGGAGATATGCCATTAGTGGTTAGTTCCATGTGTATAAAATATACATGTTGAAATTACTATGAAATAATCAGTACATTGTAACGAAACTTAAATGACCATTTTTAGTCAAAAAAATTATGAATATCCTAACGAATTATCGTCATGATAACTATTTACATTAAAAATGTGTTTTTATTTCCTAAACTTAAAATATAAAAAAAAAATCGACACCAATCGCAATGACTTTACCCAAAACAAACAAACGATACTTATACAAGAAATATAAAAATAAAACCGCTAATTTATGACTGGGTTTGACTACTTTATAATTTTGGCCCATTGTTCCAATAATAATAGTAACGCATGCATATAGAAATACAGAGGATATTTTTTTCCCAACACAAATACAAAATATCATGATAAGTACGTCCGACTCATCAAATGCGAGTATGTAATCACCATTACAAAATAACATTTGCAACAGACTCCCAAAAATCACAATGAACAGAATAGTGCAATAAATAACACAAATGAGCAAAGACTTAAAATAATAAATGAAATATAAACTTCCTATGCATTAAAGAAATAAAACCAAATAACAGTCAAGGAATGACAATGCCATGATACTCGAAAGACTTTAAGACAGTTACACTGCTGTATCATCGAAATAAGATCCAAAGATCGCGTAGCCTATAATTATTTACAACTACGGAAAGATTTATGGTATCAGTTGACTCACTTTAACGTCGACTCTATAGGAATTAGAGCTATTTCGCCGTAGAAGCCGGAGATGGCTGGCCGGCAGACGGTCAGTGAGCCATCTCAATGTGCCGCTGCAAACTCTTCTTGTTCATGTAGAACCTGTCACACATCGCACACGGGAAGAACACCTTCTCGTTGTCTGAGTGCCGCGCGCGAGTGTGTGACGATAGGTCGATTGCGCGCGCGAAGTATACCTTGCAGATGTTGCAGTAGAACTTGGTAGGCGTGGCGTGCATGGTGCGATGCGCGATCAGGTCTCGCGGCGTCGCCACGCCGTCCCCGCACTGTCCGCATGTAAACTCACCCGGGGGAGGAGCAGTGCTGCCCTCATCTTCAGATTCTCCCGAATCATCACCGTGTTGCATGGCGCGGTGGGCTCTTAAAGCGTTCTCGTTATCGCACTGTGCCCCACAAACGTCGCACGCAAGGCTGTCGTCCTCGTTCTGATCCGCGGCGGAGGAGCTACCCTCGCCGCCGTAGTGTTTCTTCATGTGGACGATCAACGTCGATTTGCGCGTAAAACTCTTCTCGCATACGGGACAGAACACGGAGTTAGGCTGGTGTACCTCGTCCATGTGCCGCTGGTAGGCCGCTCGCTTGGTAAACTCTTTGTCGCATATGTTGCAGTACCTATCATCGGCGCCGGTGGACGAATTGTTCTGTTGTTCTAATTCCACAGAATCGTCGGAACGCAATTTCTTATTGGGATTTACGACTGTGACCTCGACTTCCGGTGGCAGTCTCCTCTTGGCAACGCTGGCGGGTGTCGGCGTCGAGTGGGAGACGCGTGCGAGTTGCGAAGGATCGACCACCTCGTGTTTACTGACCTTGCTAGTGACTTTATGCTGAGGCATCCACAGGCCCGAATTGTTGGCGGCCGCTTTGCCATCCGGAGAACGCAAATGCCAACCACGATGGCTCTTTAGTGCAGAAATAGAGGTGTAACTCTTGTGACATATTTCACAGTCGAAGGTCTGGGGCGATGATTGTACTTGGTTTACGCATTGGTGGTTCTGCAACGCGAGCAATCCGACGAATTGTTTGCCACATTGGTCACACGGATAGCGGGCTTGATATTCCGCACTGGGGTCGACCGAATCCTGATCACCGTCATATTCCCCTTCCAATTCTTGGGTAACCTCTTGTTTAGTGGGACCTTGACTCGCATTATATCCAAGCAACTCTCTGGCATGCGCAGCCTTGAGATGCTCATATAATTCTAATGTGGAATTCAATGGTTTTCCGCATATTTTGCACATTTGCGAAGAAGACTTGTGAACGTTCTTTCTGTGACGATAGTAAGATTTTTTGTCTGAAAAAGTGATTTTACAAATAGTGCAACTTGATCTGCCGCCTTCTCCGGCCATTATTGGTGAGTCTGAGCTGCCGCTGGCGCTGGCGTTGATGATTCCGTGCTTGGCGCGTTTGTGTTTCCACAAACTTGTCCTGAGAGGAAACCGTTTGAAGCATAATTCGCAGGAATAAGGCGCGGCTTCCTGTGGAGTCTGTACGGTCTGTTGTTGCAAGTTGTTTGCTAAATTAGTAAAATTAAAGCTATTGAATTGCGGCGTCGAAAGGACGGCACCATTTTCGTCTAAATTGTATTCGTCTTCTTCGGTGGATGCCTGCATAGTATTTTCCTCGCTATCATTTCGGTCCGTTGTATCCGCATGTAGCACTTTCTTGTGCTTCCAAATATTTTTCTTGTGCATGAAACCTTTTCCACAGATATCACAGGAGTAAGGCGCATTCGGAACGTTACAATTTGGTTTGAAAGAAAGATAATTAGGTTGTACCATCGAGAAGGATCTAATTGGCTTGCCGACAATTTGGGGAGCGAATCCTTTAGGTTCGCCGGGTTTTCTATTGGTGGTAGGGACCTTGGCATGTATGCGCATATGATTCGAGTAGGCCTGTCGACTTTTAAACGACCTGATGCATATGTCGCAAAAGAAGTCATAGTCCACAGGCGCGTACGCCCCAGAGGCTCCAGGATGGTTTTGCTGAACGTGTTCCGAAAGCTTTTGGGGCGTGCTGTAAGAATTGGAGCAAATGTTGCAAGGATAAAATTTAACTCTCAAATGGGTATTTTTGTGCTCTGCGAGTTCCGACGGTCTTAAGAATTTCTTGTCGCATTGATCGCAGTGGTGAGCGACTTGATTATGTTCGGCCACCTGATGATCCGTCCAAGCGTCGACAGTTTCGAATATGGCGTTACATTCTGTGCAAGAGTAGTGGTATTCCTCGGCTTCCTCCTTCACTAGCGACATGTCGGGCTCGTTGCTCTGCATGCCTAATGTTCTATCAGAATGCTCCATATAGATGTGCTTGTTTAGATCAGCAGCTTGCTCAAATTTAGAATCGCAGTGCTGGCAGTAATGAGGTTTCTCCTCGTTGTGAATAATCTTTAAATGTTTAACTAAATTTGGATAGCTACTGTTCTTCTTCCCGCAAACGGGACAATCGGTCGGTCGTCCATCGACGCATTTGTTCTGATTATCAGATTGGTCGAAGTTCCCGGCGTGTACGGCTAATGCGTGGTCGTTGAAATGTTGCATGTTGCCAAATCTTTCGGAACACAAATCGCATGAAATATAAACGGTGCATTCTCCGTTGCGTATGTGCCTCTTCCACAACGCCTTATCTTTGAATCTCGAATTGCAGTGAACACAGACGAGTTGCACGCGAGACTGGCCATCTTCATGCACATCCAGCACGTGTTTCATTATAAATTGTTTTAATTGGAATTTAGCTGGACATAATTTGCAAGCATAAGACCTAGCATTGAATATATCTTTATATGCTACTTTGGTATCTTTAGGTTCATCCTCTAGAACTAAATCTTCGGTGATTCCATTTTCATTGTAAATAATCTTCCATAGATCTGTGCAAGTATTGGAGCGCATGTGACTGAGCAGGGCGCCGATATGGCCAAACGTAACAACGCAGTTGTAACACGTGTGTTTGGGGACTTTGTGTCCATTTTTCTGCAAATGTTGTATGACAGCTTTGCGGCGTGGATGTTCTCTATCGCAGCAAAGACATCTTTTTGTATTAATCTGTTCAATTATATCGCGATATTTGAGTATGAAATCTCTCTGAGTCTTTGTCACGTAAAGTTTATCAGGATCGAGTTCCTTGACGTCCTCTACTGTGTCATTGGGGTCGGCCGTTTCGTCCAGATCTTCATCATTTCCTTCACTGTTGTATGAATTTGTTTGCATATCTTCATTGATTTCGACAACGGGTGCAATAGGAGGCAGTTCCTCATCATCATCATCTTGATTATACTCCATCTGATCATCGTCTCGTTCATCATTTCCTTCTTCGCCTTCTTTGGTTTCATGTCCATTCTCTTCATCTTCTCTGCCATCGTTCTCGTTGCCGACTTCTCCATCCTGGCTGTCGCCATTGTCATCTGCTTGATCATTTTCATTGTCGCTTTGATGTCTTTCCATGTTATTTTCATCATCATTATCCATTTCGTTACCTTCTTCCCCTTCATTTATAACCAGATGATCACCACCACCGCTTTCACCATCACCATCGCCTTCACAGTCTCCTTCATCTTCACCAGCATTTTCTTTTTCACGAGCTATCTCAATCTCATTTTCAGAATCCATGTCAACGGTATCGTAATTATGACTATGATTATTATGCATTTCACCATCGACATCATCATCATCTTGAGGAATAAAAGTGTCCGGTTCTGAAAGTATAGTCTCTACCTGAAACGAAGCTATTTCCGGTTCAGATATCAAAGTCTCAGGACTTTCCGGACCAGAATTAAGAATTTCCGGTTCAGATACCAAAATTTCGGGTTTCGTAGTCAAGAGAGTCTTTAGGATTTGTGGTTCCTTTTTCTTTATTTGTAAGTCTTTTAATGCCTTAATACGAAGCGGGTATGGCAAATTATTTTGGTTTCCCTTTGGTGTTCTCACCGGTATCGGTTTTGGTGGGGCAAGAGCCTTATTCTGTATGATTTTTGCATTAATCCCTTTAGGGATCAACTGCATTTTATGACTAATAGGATTAGGCATGAGCCTTGCTTTGGGATTGAACGGATTGGGTCTAAGTTTTGGCTGCATGTGTGTGTTGTGTGATTTTTTGGCTGTTACTTTGTTAGTATATCTGTCAAAACTGTGAGCATTAAGTTCATGTCGCCTGGCGTTATGTGAATATCTGTAAGATCGGCCGCACACGAGGCACTCTTTAGAAGCTAGTTGTTGGATCCCTTGCCGAGCGTGCAACGTCTCTCCTGAGGGACGCATCACAGTAATAGAGACCTCAGGCATAGCTGGCATGCTGGGATACTGTTGAACGGACTCATGCATCTCTTCTTCGTTCATATCTTCATCGTCCTCATCGTTATTTTCGCTCTCCATCCCCTAGAATAACAAAATTTATAAAAAAATTATTTTGGAGCCAATATAAATTTTTCAAAGTATTGCGATAAAAAAATCAAATTTGATTCATCCTTATAGCTATAAACACACTAATTGCATTGACTTCCCACATAGTTTAACATATTATGGTAATATTTAAGCTTAACCACTGCAGGACAGAGGATACCCCTTGACAATATGTATAGCATTTTGAGATATTGGACAAAGTATCCAAATAATCAACTGTCAAAGTTAACCATGATAGAAACTTTGAATCAAAACAAAAATATATTAAAATTAATTTATTTATAATCTAAATTTTATTTAACAATAACAAGCTTATAATTTCAACTAAAACAATTCATATTTATAAATTTTAATCGCTTTAAATTTTACTAAAAAAAAAATTTAATAGCATGAAGCAACAACTACATATATTAAACAAAATAAAAAAGAAGTGTTGCGAAAAAAAAAGATTACATAACTTTTTCCTACTTGTTAAAAAAAAACGATTAAATCTTATATTAGTATAAAATGACCTATATTATCTACAGCATATTAAAAAAAATTGAAATGTCTTTGTCCAAAAATTTAACAAAACTTTTTCATGTGCAAAGTTGAACTTAAATAAATCTCTCAAACCTATTTAAAAATAGGTCAACAACCAAATCACAATAACTAATATATTCTCTATGTACCACACATTGAACAAATAAGCACACTATGCTCTTTGCAAACAGAATATCCACAATTATTACAACGCTGTTGAGTTCTTCGATCTTTTTTTGTCGACTCGACACAAATTTTACATCTTATCCTGCCTTTCGGTGTTGCAAACTCTTCCATTGTTGTAAATCTTTTAATCTTCAATTTATTTTCCAATGGTACAGTAAAACTTTTAGTTTCCAATAGACTAATAGCTAATTCCTTGATAAACAAACGCCTATTAACTATTTTGCCGGAATTCTCAGACACCCATATAACTTGAGCATTCACCGCTGCTATGTTTAATAACATAAAAAACAAGGAATGAGCCCAGTTGTTTGAGTTTTGCATTGTTGTGTAATAATGCATTAATACATCTAAAACTTCTACCGCAGACTGATTTTTTTTATAAGTCGATACAACTGAATCTCCTTTACCTTTGTTTCTTTCATAAAACCTCGGTACATTACTTAATATATTTATTGATTTATGTTTAGTATTAACATATGAAGTTAAAGAAATATTTTCATCAACATAACCAGTAATGAAATCTTCACTTTTTCTGTGGTTGTTGAGAAAAAATGGTGGGACCACAACATTAGAAGGATTAACTGCCAATATAGTGAATAAATGATAATCATTTCTCAATGTTTCCATTAATGTAAAGGATGTGAACCAAGAATCTAATATAATAGTTCGACCAGAGCCTGCCAAATGTTGCGCAACTTTCTTAACAATATCTTCCGAACTTGAATATGGGTCAGTGATCACATCAATATTACTGACATAAAAATTTGTAGGATCAACCATTAGTATCATTTTGATACCACCTTTTAGTGGTTTCTTTTTAATGTTGTATCTAAAAGGACAAGGTCCAAAAACAGGAATGAGTATTTCGTCAATAACAACCATGTCATTAACATCAAAAACTTCTCTACAATTCAATGCAAACAACTCGAAAATTGTACGAATAGGTTTCATTATGTCATGTCTTGTATCTCTCACATTGACTTGATCAAAGCTCAAGTTCTCAAGAAGAAATTTAAATCGTTCAAACTTCATTGCATTTTGAACACACACAATGCCACAATCATTAAGCCAGAGGTCACTGTATTTTTCATTTGTAGGCCGCAGTATTCCATGCAAGTATAAAATACCAATAAATGTTTTTATTTCACTCATGTTTGTGAATGCCGAATAATTTTCCTTGTGTTTTTCAATTTTTTCATTTGTAGCTGTAACTATAAGCTCCAATATTTCTTCAGTGAAAAACAGTTGCCAGGCATTTTTTGGCAGCAAACAATTTCTTTTGTCCACTTTGCGTTTTCGTTTAAAGGCTTTCTTCCCTTTGACATTGTCATTATTTATTTTAGACAGTAAAGGAGTTTTAGATATAATTTGTTCATTTCTACATAAGTAACCATTTTCACAATCAAGGTATTCTGTATTTATGTTACAACTCAATTCAGTCTCAGAGTCAGAGTCATGATCAGAGTGATGTAACACATCACATTCTTCGGTAGACTGTAGAGAGTCTATGACATCATCTTTTTGAACTAGATCCAATATTGCATGTACCCTTTGCCAGTCCATCCGTGGATCTACATAATTCTGTGAATAAAATTAATTCAATTAAGGTATTCCCACATCCATTTTGTTTCCTGATTCACATTACTAATACAAAAATTATAAGAAGTACAAAGAGTATCAAAAGAAAACAAAGACATATCAATTTTTATACAATGGTACAATTCTCAGTGTTTAATGATAAGGCAGGCATGAATATGTTTAATCTTTACCTTATCACTCCTCGGTGTGAGACCCAGTGAAGCCAAGATAGGAGGGCCTTCTGCTTGCACTTTGCTCGATGTAGACGCACACTGGAATGGATCATGATAATATTGGTCAATATACTGTGTCATAAATTATTGCAATATATGTATAAAAATATTATACTAAAAAATAACATTACATCTGTTCTGAAAAACTAAGACATATAAGTATCAGCAATAACTTTAATTCCAAGAAATAATAACAAAACTTCATTTAAATTACATTGACAACACTGCATATTTAATGCCCTTGACACTTATTTACAGACAGCCAACATTAAGTATCATATTTAAATTGATTGTTTTTGATTAGTAATTAATATTTTCCCTAAGCAAAGTGCTAAAAATATTTTACTTACTTACAACAAATGAACTCTAAAACAAATGACATAACTATCACAAAACATACCTCAAGGTCAGGGTATGATCCTTCAATAACCACTCCATCATCATATGCCTCATCAGATAAAGGTTCACTTTTAATTTGCACCTGTGAAAACATAATTAATTTATGTAAACAACAATCAAGTTGACAGTTGTAAAACGAAAATGGCAATGGAAAATCAAAGAGAGAACCAACCTCTTCTAGTTGGCTGCCATCATTTTTAATGAGTGTATGTAGTTTGTTTTGTGACCTTTCACATATATCCTTAAAAATGTGCCAGTTATTGACATTGTCACAGCATTTTCTGCAAACATTAGTTGGCAGGTCGTCATCTTCGTTTATCTGAAAAATAATCATACGCAATCAATGTATGAAGGTCGACGGACGCATTTCATCAGAACGGGCGAGTCGAACCGCGCCTCGTGTGTAGATACGACGCGAGGAGAAACTAAGTAGGCGTAGGTATAGCGCGCGGCCGACGGCTGCTCCTCGACCGAATAAGTAGAAGCGAGTCGAGTGGCAACCAGCGAGCCCCTCGAGGGTTACCGCGATATAGGCACACACGCACACATGCACGCCGATAGCGAACTCACGCAGACACCGACCGACGCTCGATCCGTTCGAGGGATAAGCTGCACTGGCCTGGTCTCGTCCGGTAAATCAATACATCCAACGCCATGCCTATCTGGCGGCACGCAGACCCCCTCCCGGCCAGACCCCCGGGAATAATGCCAAACCCGACCCTCATAATGCGCGCCATTCCTCGCCGGCTGAACGGAATGCGACGCGACGCGGCCACGAGCCGAGCGATAGCGGTGGAACATTACAAAATGGTGGACGATCTTACGACATCTCCACCTCGACACAGCGTTGCTCGAACAGGGACGGATGACGAGTTCTCACGTACACCAAGGGTCTACTTTCACTCAAAACACGATTCCAACGCATATTTTAGAAATTACTTACCTCTACAGACACGCAATCCCTGATTTTTGAGGCGAGGCCAGGAGGTTCCGAGTCATCCGAACTGGTGGTAGGAAATATCGGCAGTAATTCGCCTCGAGATGACAAGCACAGTCTACAAACACGATCATAATTCACACGCATTGTAAATAAACAATTTTTTTAAGTATAAACTTGTACAGCGCTTAATAAACGGACGCCATGTCACCACGAACACTTCAACACAATACACTGCACATCGTTCTAGCTTGAGTATGAAAGCGGCTGATGATGAGCATGAGAAGTCGATGTTCGGTCGGAATAGCTGGGTCGAGTCGCCGACCACCTGTCGTTCTGCGCATGTGCGCGTAAAACGGTAGCAAGAGTGCCAACATAACGAAACAAACGCGCACTTAAAAGTCAGGTATCATCAACTTAATAAGTTACGCTCGTTTTAAGGTCAGTACTATTTTGTTGAAATGGTTACTAAATTAAATATGCGAAAGGTTATAATAAATTGATGTCCAACATTGTCTAGTAAAAAAAAAGATAAATAAAAGTTGACTCCTTAAAACACACTCATCGAATTGGAAAAAGTAAATAAAGTAAGACTTTTAGAAATACGAGCTAGAGCCTTTTGATCGTGATTTATATCAATAATAACCAATTGCAAGTATTCCTCCGACAAAAAGGACCAGAAAGCGTTTTATGTTACTATGATTTGATGGCAGAAAGAATTTTTGCTCTCCTTTAAATAGTTTAGAACCCCTGGAATATCTTTCTGTCTCTGTCTAAATTGTGTGACGGTAGCGCTAAATTCAAACGTGAGTGAACTTAGCAGCTGTTTCCATGAAGCGGGAAATATGAAATGAAACGACTTATCGCAATTTAATATCTTAGAATCTCCATGTTTTCAAAGATATAAAATTGCTGCATCTATTTTTGTTGCAGAATATAATTTAAAATAATATTCCTTTGACCTCCATAATATTTTGAATAATTTTAAAATCTTCAGCTCAACAAAAGTTTTTCAGTGTTGCCACCAAAGAGTATATAAAATAATGGTTGCCACCTTCCAACGTTACTGACGTTTAATTGTTATTGCTAACTTTGCTTCAGAACAAATAGTATTTTGAATAATACGGCTAAAATACGATTTTTTGCTAGCTTCTGTTTCGTTATTTTAATAAAAAGTCGTTTCTTCGATTTTTTTTATATTTTTAAGTTTACCATAAAACTTGCAAATAAAACACTTTAACATGTTGTTTATTTGAATTTTATTACAAGCAACATTTAATGCTACACATTTACAATTATTGCACAAATATTAACATGCATATGTTAAGTATTTTCTATATATTTTTGTATATTTATTATCACTACATACATTTAGAGTTCTTAACAGAATTATAATTAATTTTGATGCATAGGATGATATAGGATAGGATAATTAGCATTTAAGACATTTTAAAAGTTGATGATATTTTTTCTCTTAAACGTTATTTTTGTAATCTACATGTTTATAGATATAATCTTAATTTTGTAAAATTAATAAACATATTATACTTTATTATGTACTTTGTGCACATTATTCAAATAATGCCATGATATTTTTAATTATTCTATTAATTAAATTACCATACCAATATCAAATAAAAAATATATTTGCTTAAAAAAAACATAAATATACTTTATGATAAAGCTATTTTATTAAACAAGCTGTGTTAAAAATTTTTGCAATAAGTAATTTGTAGTGTCGAAAAATTAAATAAGTTAAAATTAAAAAAAAACTCAGTTCTTCTCAGTTTCTCAAAAATTAGCTATTAAGCATCGTACGATCAAATCCTTTGCAATAAATACTCATAAAAATACATACAAACGCTTGAGGCAAAGTTGTGCAGATACGTAAATGGTGTTCTTGGGTAACATAGATAAATCCCAAGTGTGACCTAAGTTTAAAACAGTACTTAGTAGAACACGATGAAATAAGTTTTTCAAGATCTTTAATAATATACACATTTAAAATATACACATGCCGGAAATAATAGATGCGAGTTTGGTCCACTTCGAATCGCTGGCGTTCCAAATTCAAAAAGTGGCGGGAAAACGTGCATATCAGTTTAGGAACATGGCGGGCACGAAGACCTTTGTTCTTCTTGCGACGGCTGCGCGCGCACCGCCAGGCGTGCTGGGTCGACGGGGTTCGCTTTCGCGACGAGAGCTCGTGCCACATGGCCGAACGCCGCTTCCACGTTCAGTCCGGTTTTAGCTGACGTCTCCATAAATGCGACTTGATATTCTCGCGCTAGCCGCTGCCCCTCCTCCCGCCGCACTGCCCTCTCTAGGCCGCTGTCCGATTTGTTCCCTGCAGGAAAATGGAATGGTTATTTCCTCACAATGTATTTAATCTAGAATATTCCATATAAATAACAAATATTATTGTAAGTCGTAGTCACAATATATCATAGTGCTTGTAAGAAAATGACTATACTTTCCATAGGATTTGTCGTATATGTCTGACTGTAGAATAAATATTTTACTTGGACGAGATGTGGTCATTGATAAGTTAGGTGTGGCTAATGATAAGATTAAAATTGCAGACCGAAACAACAAACATTATGCATCTTTTAAAGAGGCAAACGGTTGCTTCAAAGTGCTTACCAAGACCATATCATGCCCTTAGTCTTTACTAAGAATATGGAGAGAAAAGTTTACCCAGAAGCATGATGACAACATCGTCCTGTGCATATTCTCTTATCTCGCCCAGCCACGCCCGTATGTTGTCGAAACTCGTCTTGTTGGTCACATCGTACAGAAGTAACAGAGCTACACAACAAGCATAAAAAACTATATAATTATGACTAAGGCACGTGACATATTATAGGACAGTCTACGCCTATAATTCTAGTTTGTTTAACGTTTTTACTTTATTTTTATCCTACTATTATAAAATATTTACCCACTTAATTAAATACCTGGTTTACATTGTTTCAGTACAGTAAGACATATTATAAACACGACCTGGCCCGTATGGACCAAAACAAACCATGCCAGTTTAGGGCTACTGTCCTACTGCACTGGCATAATGTAAAACAGGCATAAAATTATTAAAAACCTTTAAAGTGCTTTTGTTTTTTTTTTTAATTAGTGTAGCAATTCTAAGACAATGTTATTATAATTTATATTAATATTAAACCATTGGACTATTGATAGTTTTTTCTAGAGTTATTTTCACTAAATTATGATGTAGCGACCAGTGTAACATTCATAGCACGATCTGTTCGACTCATTGTTCCTCGCTCATTGATTACCAATGAGTAATCAATACGACCTAATTCATACGTCGGTCACATAATGGATATCTGATGTAACTTATTAAATATAAAGCTAATTAAAAATTACATATTTTTTGTAGCTAACTTTTTTAACAAAGCGATCGGAATTTAAACTGTAATTCTTTTTTACTGTCGCACAGTAACAGTAACAGAGTTGTTGTCACTTAAGGTGACACATCGTTTAAATTTTAGATTCAATTAATCTATTTCAAATAGTAAGGTTAAATGTTATTTTGTAGATGTGCGACTCGGTAATGGTAAATATGTGGCCAAGTCGGCTTACCACATGTACACTTGATCCGGTTTGTGATTATGGACTACCTGAGAACGTCAAACCATCGCACACCTTGTCGGTTGTAGGTATACTCGGCACGACCTAATTGAGGTCATGTCTATTGGCTGTTCAAATTATGTTTTCTAGACATACTTTTTCTATATCGAAATGTGAGTAGCATTATGCGGATAAATAATATAAGTTTAATGCTTATTAATTAAACTAATTCTAATAAATGATAATTTCACAATATGTAACGATAATTTAACGATCTTTAATTTTATAATTGGAATGACAGTAAAGGTGAACGTCGTCGCCAATAGATGGCGCTTTTTTATATATCCTGATTTGTTGTTAATCGGATTGTAATAAAAAACAAAACTTAAATGAATCCTAACTAATAAATCCTTTCAAACTGAAAAATAATTACCATGTGCATCTCGGTAGTACGCATGAGTAACGCTACGGAAGCGCTCCTGGCCCGCCGTGTCCCAAATCTGAAGCTTCACTTTGACGCCGTCCACCGTCACTACCTTGTTCTGCAACAGATGGCGCTATGAGTATCAAGACACCACTATCGAATTAATTATTTAATTTATTGGAAAATAATTAAAAATTTAAAATGAACACCTAGAATTAAAGAAATACTGCTAAAAAATGATTCGAATTAATATTTCTATACAATTTACAGCGTTATACAATTTGAACATAAGTCCAGTTTTCAGTCGTTACATGTTTCTTGAAAAGACTCCTTCGATTTTTTTAAAGTACTATGGTAAGGCATAGTCCAAAAAATTCTATGGATTTCCTAACTCTATCAATTTATAACGAATGGAAACAAGTTTTTATATTAAGTTATCCCGTCGGAATGAATAGCAGTCGGCGACAGATGCTATAAATCAGCCGACAAAAAACTGGGAACAAAAAAATTCTACGTAACAATAAATCAAGTCAGTGATGGAGTCAGTTCACAGCTGGCTAGGGGCGTGCTTTGCGCGCGAAGCAGACCAATAGCGGTGCGGGTACCAGGGCAACAGCACTCGTGAGTGGCTCGCGGCGACCAAACCCTTGTTATAACTTAATTGCTTTTTTATTTTATAATGCGGCTTGTAACTAAAAAAAAACATCAGCCGGCCAGATATGTTTTATAGACAGTTAATAATACTTTTTAAAGTCACGGAAAAGGTTTTATTCGTCATATTGGAATGCGGTTATAAAACTGTATAGCATAAATTTGTTGATATTCTCATTGGCTTCGCTTTCGTTTTATATCCATAAATTATTTGTTATTATTAAGGTAATCTCATTGTCCGATATTCACATTTAGTTCAAACTTAAACTACTGTTAAACAAGTTTAGTTAAATACTAGGCTCCACATTTAGAAAGTAATTTCCAAGCTCTTTTGTAAACACTTGATACAATTTTTTTTCTCATATGACATCTTTGACTTAATAGGTAAGGAACATATCTAGTAGATATTAAAATAATATCCCTGTTAATATTTATGATAGGTATTTTAATGCAAAATGGGTTCCATGTTCCTTCAAGTACCCGAAAGTCGATGCCGACAGTGGATATGTAGTTGCCTGCGAGGAAAGTTCCATCGCGGAACCGCACTAGCATGCAGGTCTTGCCCACGCCGCTGTCTCCCAGCAGCATCACCTGGAATACACAATCATTTATTAAAATACTAGGTGTAGCCCGTGACCCTGTACGCGGGGAATTAAATAAAACTTAATTAGTAGTATATTTGTTCTTTCAGACTATGTACTGTATTTAAGGTAAATTTCAGCTGGATAAGTTATGCTGTGGTGCAGATATCTTCTAACAAACATCCATCCATCCATCTATAATATAAGTAAGAAATGCATAAAGCGAAAAGCACTAAAGGGTTGATTGTTAATAAATCTTAAAGCTAGCTTAAATATAGGCCAAGGTGAAAGAACTGTCCAAAACATATTGCCATCCCTCTTAACATCTCTGAAAAGGAAAGAGATAATATATTGTAACTTCGACGGTATGAGATGGTATTAACTGACCTTTCCAAATACATCAAATTTGTCTTCTTGTTTGTTCTGCTGGTCCCAGGTGTCAGTGGGAGAAGGAGGTTCGCTGTGCGGCATCACGCCTACTTCTTGATCACTCTTGTCATCTTCTTCTCTTGCGTCTGGGAGATTACGTGCCCATGTCGGTCTAACCCTCCCTATTACCACTCTCTTCTCCATTGGTCTGTTGTCTGTTGCGTTCGGGTTCCACATTATGAGTTTTAAAGTTAACACATTTCTTTAGATTTTCGCACTAAATTAATTTATTGTTCACTTTCTTTTTCTTAAATTCACTTTTTATTATCTACATAAGTAATAGTCACTTTCGATAAAATGAAATTAAAACAGATATCGTAAATTCCGAAGCGCTAATAGCCTAATGGTTAAGAATTCGAATCCCATTCAAATAATTGTATAATAAAATCGACAAAAATCTGTTAATATTTTATAATAAAAAATTACTCTAAACAAGACATAGCTTCCAAAACTGTCTCTATTTATGTCTATACCTTAGAAACCTCAACATTAATCTTATTAAATAGCACGTAAAGGGATATTGAGGTTAATTTAAGGTTGAACGTATCGTTTGATGTAGTTAATAGTTAGAAATGGAATTACTTTAGCTCGTGATGCTTCAAACAGTTTTTAATCAAAAAGGTCGCGTGTATTGACATTTTCCAGGCATTAATTAAATCGTTTGTAACTTGTGTGGAGCAAAACTGAAACTTTTTACTTTGTGACATCGTTAAAAATTAACAAAGCATCGGGATGATTAATTATTTGTACGTAAAATACTTTAGTAAGAAAATTATTATCAACATTATTAATTTTAAAAATCGTAAAATACGATAATGTACTATATTAGTTTTTAAGTGCAAATATGGTCATGAGATTTTTTTTTTTAGAGAAAGGGGCAAACGAGCAGCGGGAACACCGAGGTGTTCAACGACGCCCATGGACATCAGCAATACCAGAGGAACCGCAGCTGCGTTGTTGGTCTTTGAGATGGTGATACGCACGCTTATTGAAGGACCCTAAGTCGTAGCGGTTTGGAAATACCGCCGAGGACAGACCATTCCACAACGCTGCTGTGCGAGGCAGGAAGTTTCGCGGTTCTGGATTGCCATCCATCACAATGGTGTGGATGGAACCTGGCGGTCTGTCGTGTTGTCCGATGACGGAACTCGGCGACGGTTTTTTGTATAACTGTTAGTTTTTGAGGTCAAAATCCCCGTCGAATTGTCTCTGTTTTATCAACGATGACATGGATGACGATATGGTTTATACAGAGATTTTGGTCTCGGAAACCTACTTTACATAATCTACTAATCAATATTACACAAGTATGAACTAATTAAGATATACGAATGTGCATACAAAATTAGTTTTAATTATTCTACAAGGATAAATTCTTGTATTCATGTGCTATATATTTGTAAAAGAAGTAAATTATAACCGGCTTTTAAGAATTCAAAGCTTTTAAAGATGCCTTTGATATACGCTGGAAGGAAAATTCGTTTGAAGTGTTGCGTAGATAATTAAGTTACTTGAAATAACATTAATACTGCCGGAGGGGATTTTTGATATTTCTATAACGTTCATAGAATAATCTTAAATATATATTTACAAGTAAGTAATAGATAATTACAAATAATTAATTAAATTGTTTGAGACACATTTATATAACAACAATAAGAACATAATTTTTGTTTCAGGACGGCAACTTTAAACACAAAGAGATAGATTTATAGATAACTAATTTGACTGTCGGTGGCTCAAGGGTTTAAGCACTTAACTTGTAATCTACAGGTTCTGCGTTCGAATCCCCCCATGTATCAATGTGTTTTTAGTTTTTCGATTTACTTATGTCGAACGTCGGATAAATGTACATTTATCCGAGGTCCTTACGGTGAAGGAATATCGTGATGCAACCAGCACATATCTGCAAAGAAATTCAAAGATATATATGAAGTAAATCCGTACTGGACCGGCTTGGTCGACTATGGCTTAGTCACCCGTAACTTAGGGTAGGGTCTGAGGCCTTTGGTGGTGACGTATAGATGATGATGATTTAAATATTTTTAATACATATTTTCATATTAAATCTACAGCAAGAGAATTGTTATTACAGGACGCCAATTTTAAACACGGACGACATAGATTTACGTGTACGTGAAATTAAATTGACTTATATTGTACAATGCCTTATAAAATTAAGAATTCAGTTATTAGGAATTATTGAAACTTTGAGGGATAAATGTGGAAGAATACAGAAAATACTTTTCCTTAGTACCACATTATTGGAAACTGTTCAAGCATACGTTCAACTAAGGACTGACACAGGCTGACGATGACGATGAAATTTAAAAAGGCTCTGACGATAGTAAAAATGCAAGACAAAGTGGATAAGCTATTGTTTTATAAGTTAAAAACTGTCAAATTAAATGAAGAAATTAAATCTTATAATCAGACTTGAAATCAGATAACGGCTCTCAAAAACATTTGTTAAGAAACTTCTCTCTTTATGTCTTACTGGTATTATATTAAACTTAATCAGGTAATACAATAAGTTTCAATTACAAATTAAAGCTCAAGTTTCTAATCAATATTAATTATATTATACTTATGTATCTCAAGTTTTTGTCGCGTAATGATTACTTATACATAGTTTATTTCAGCTCCCGGATTCGTTAATTAGTAGCTATGAGGCCTTAGTGTAAATTGCTATTACTAAGTCTACATTTAAGAAGACCGCTTAACCTTAGTGTAGGTTTATCTCATTAAATATTTACTAAGGGATCGTCAGTTATTCACATGAGGTTAAAAAGGGGGTTCGGAAAATCACGAAACATAAGAGAGGAGGGATGGATCTAATATAAGTATCAAGTTTAGTTACTTTCTAACTGATGAGGTTTTAATGAATAAATTAATAAAATCTTTAGAAGTTTAACAATCTGTTCGCAAAAATAAAAACACGTGTCTTTAGGTTTAAGGGGAGGAGTTGGCTAAAATCACATCACATATAATAAGACAAGAGTTGAGGGTCAAATATGTAGTTGCTAAAAAAACATCACGTCATTAATGGGCGCCCCCCAAAACACTCTGTATATGGCAGTTAGTCTTTCAGTTACTTATATTTTGCGTATTTGAATAAATAAGTCGTAACATAAATTATTGCTTTTCAATTCAAATGACAAATCAAAGTTGCGAGCAGACGGTCGTCCGACACGTTCTGATCGGCTCCCGTTTGAATTTATTTAATGAGAAAACTTTTTCTATTTGAACCAGACGAATGGTGATTTCATAGACGATGCGAATTCACAGTCAGTAATTATTACTTTTAAAAACATTAAATTGTTATTTTCAAACTAATTTGTATCTAAAATATATTAAGCACTGTAATAATTAGCAAATCTTCCGGAGACCCATACAAATATATCTTTTTACTTTTTTCAAGGAAACTGCAAAGGAAAGATTTTAAGTTATTGCAATT